GACACGCACAAAAAGTCTGGCATGGGGGAAAAACAGGGAGACATCTAGCTGCTCCTGGGTTGATAAGAAATTGTAAAGCTATAAAATACTACATGAAAGTACAAAACTTGCAATGTTTGATTTAATACAGAGCTAATTTAAAAAATGAGTTGACAGATCATCAGGCCACAATCATCTTCAATATTTAAAACACAAAATTACTTATAGGGTTATGGCTACGTATAGACCATCAAAGCTGGTGTTTGAAAACACTGATGGTTCTTAATATTTGGAAGGTTGTAAGCAAGGGAGGTACTCTTCTCCTGCGGAGCTCTTTGGGGTGATAGAGACAGTGAAGGAGGCACAGCATGGCTAAGACATGGGATTTGTAATGAGCAATTCACAGAAGGGCCTGACCAAAGGCAATGAGAGGCATCTCTGGTAATTATGGTGGAGGCTAAACTGCTATGGTAGATAACAGTGACATTGAAGTTCATTTCTCCAATGTGTTACTGATCAGAAGTCTGAAGGGTGCCAGGGCAAAATGGAGTGTATAGTTTGTGGCATTGTCTCGGGATCCCATCTTCTCCCTCTCGTATATTTGTAATCACCCCCTCATATCTCTTGCACTGTCTACTTTAGCTCACTACACTTTCTCTGGATTCCAGCCCACTAGGATGGAACAGAGAGAGAGAGTAAGGGCAAGGAACTTTGATTTAAAGGGGATCCAGACATGACACGTGCCAGCTCTCCCCATATGCTATTCTTCAGCATTTAATTAGATGATCACACAGCTGAACAACAGGCTGAGTAATGTTTCTTCATTGTGTTGTATGACACTATTCCCAGGGAAATGTGAAGAAATGTCTATTCATCTCAGATAGGGAACCAACAGCCTACCAAAGTAAGGATAGCACCAAAGTCCAGCTTGGTGAAGCAATAAATTTTATTGGGGGTACTTAGATGAGCATGGGTGAGGAGTTACTTAGAAGAACAGAAATGACATAAAGACAGCAGTGTTGCCAAAGTCCACCCCAGTGTGGAGACAGCTCATAAATGCTGCAGACCTGGAGTGCACTGCACATCCTGCAGCACCTCAACAGGCTGTGGAGCACCCTCTCCAGGGAGCTCCTCCCTCTGTCTGGCGCTGCTGATCTGAGAGTCTCTCAGTCACATTTAGGGCTTGTCTGTGTTTGGGGAGGGAGGGCCCTATTGAACCTGATCCATTTCAGGGATTTCCTGAGTTTAATGAGTTTGCCTGCAGGATTAAATAGTTCCCCTCCCCTTAGAGCTTCCTGCTGTTTACCTCCCCTTTGAACACCCTGTTGTTTACCCAGCTTCCTGCCAAGACAGAAGGTTTTATTTCAGAGGAAATTGCTACACAACAATTACACAATCATAAACAAACCATAAGAGACAGCAGTGGTTGGGGGTGTGATGGGGTGGTAAGAGTTTTCTATTCCTAAAAGAATGAGAAAAGGCATGGACACTGTTGGGCAGTTAATTGTCTTTACCACAGCAGCCTCCCTTAAACCAGAGGATGAATCCAAGAGAAAATGTGGAAATATGTCCAAGCAGAATGAATGATGTATTACTTTTCAGTTATTGGATGCTTCCATAGTAAAAGTTAACATTAGTGGGATGAATCACATAGCGAATAAGTACTTGGAATTTCTCATTTCAAGTCTCTCTCTCTCTCTCTCTCTCTCTCTCTCTCTCTCTCTCTCTTATTATTTTTTTTTTATGTTTTCTCTCTCGAGATATCTCTCTATACAATCTAGAAAGTGTGTTCTAGAGATATACACAATATGAGTATAAGAGACAATACTCTATCTG